CGCCCATGCTGCGCCCCAGGGGTCAGCAGGAAGGGTCAGCAGCAAAGCTGGGAGGTTGGCATAGCTGGAACTACACTCTAGCTCCAGCACTGTCCGAAATGTGGCCTGTTGCAAAGGAGGGTGCAAACCAGGAGAGAAGCCGAGGTAGCCTGGCCACCTGAGAAGCCGCGCAAAGGCCAGAAGACAAACCCACATGGCAAGTGGAAAGCTGTCTGTAGGTGAGACAGCAAAGCTACGTCCGTCGCCAATGCTCTGGCCCAAAGTCCTGATATTTCTAATGCTGGGTACGAGCATGAGGAATTGGGATCCCCCCACCCCCCTCGAATCATACCAGGTGCCCCTCCAAGCTACAGAGCACACAGTTTGGACACCCCTCTGCCTTGTGTCCTACAGGGCTTTCTCTGAACTGCTCCCCTGCCACCCACCCCCAGCCTGCTGGGGAAGGCCAGTCATCCACACAGCCTCCAAAAGGGCTGAGCTGCTGGGAGAGAAACCACAGTGAACAGAATTCACCTCGGTGCCAAGTCTGGGCTACCTTTTAGTGGAAGACTATTCTCCACTTTGAAATGTGGGCCAGGGAGAGGATTTGGGGATGGGGGAGGTGCCTTAATGAAAAGGCACTGGAATTCTGAGTCCCGGGGGTTCCATCAGGCAGAGGCCACAAAGGTGGTGTGAGGACAAGGTGTAGAGCCAACCGCCCTGACCAAACGATGCATCCTGAGCACTCCCTACCTGCATTGTAACCTGCTAACTTCCCTAAGAAAGGCCCTGACCGTGAGCACCGTCTGTGAGTTGTGTGTGGCCCGCGCAAGGAATTACAGAATTCAGCTGAGAAGCACACTGAGCTGTGGGAGGGGTGGTCAGTGGGAGAAGGAGGTGATGAAGCAAGGGGCCAGGGGTGAGTCTGGCCTCGGCCTCACAGAATCCACCTTGCGCAGCTGGGGCCATGTCCTTCCCCCTGTGACGCTGGAGGTCAGATGCCAGGCTCCCATAATTTCTTTTTTAAGCAGCCCTTTCACGGGTGAGAAAAGCGAGGCTCAGAGCAGTTAGTAGGTGGGAGGAATCGGGACTGACACTCGGGATATTGGGCTTCAAAGCCTGCCTTTGACGCCAAGGGTGGACCACTTTTTAGTTTAAGACCGTGGTTTGAAACTTGGCTGCAAAGCTTACTACTCCTGTGTGCCCCTTGGCGGGACGTGCACCTGTTCTAGACCTTACTGTTGTTTTTAAATAGTCTTTTGTGGTTTTGGTGAAACGAGACAAGGCAAATTCCGGCCACGTAACAACTGCTCAACAATTCGCTCGGCGTGAGTGGTTCCAATGTCCCCGGGTGTGTCTACGTTCTTGTTATTGCCACCTGGGCTGTTGCATTTCCAATAACCTGGCTCCCCTGCCCTTTGCTGCCTGGTCTCACACGGACGGGAGACCTTACTTTTCTTATCTGTAAAAGGGGAGGGAACACATCGATCTTAGACGGACCCATGCAGAGCTGGTTTCCGCAGACCACCAGCAACCAGAAGTTGCCACTTATGTGCAGATCACAGAATGCCTTCCCCAAGGAGATCGCCGGCTTAGAGCCTGGTCAAGAAAGCACCTATATGATTGCTGCGCCCACCTCTCTTCCCATCACTGTGGACCACACGGCAATGACACGGGCTTCCGTGACTGTGGTGCGCTCTCACCTAAGGAGGTAGGCAGGAGGGGAGGTGGACGCGCAGGCGTAGGGGGGGTTGCAGGTCTGTGCCTGGGGCCCCACAAGGGCCCAAGGTGTGGTCACAGCCAAGTTCCTTTTCTGGTTTAAGTACATGGTCCTCTGGGGAAAATCAAATCCGCCGCTGGGTCCCTGGGCTAGCTAATGCTACAGGTGGCCTGGGCTAGGCTCAGGACCCAGCCATCTGGTCAGATGCTCCTCTAGTCTCCTGTTGCTATACAGGGATTCTGGAGATGTGATTACCATTTGAATCAAGGGGCTCAAGTAAAGCCGGGGCCCTCCATCACAATGTGGGTGGGCCTCATCCAGCAGGCTCCCAAGCCGAGGGGGAGGACATGTGCCCTCAGGACTGTCCGAGGGGCTGGCGCAGGGTCTGGTTTGCAGGGTTTGGACGTGCCCACCCCTGCAATGACGTGAGGCATTTCTTTAAAATAAACCCACCTCTCTTTCTTTCTCTCCTTTGGAAAAAGAGAATAAAAAGGTAATGGCATTTCCTCCCCAACATTTGAAAGTCTCCACATACGTCTTTTCAGTTCTGCCTGCCTGGGGCACGCTGACTGGTACAGCACCTTTATCCCCACGTCTGCCCGCCGGCTCTGCGCCCCTCACAGGCACGCCTTCACACGACAGCCCAGGCTGGCTGCTGCAAGAAGCCCACTCTCCTCCCGTCCTTGTCCCCACCACCGTCCAGTCTGCTTGCCAGGAGGCCAGCTGAGCCGAAGCAGCACCCCCCTGGCCACAGTTCTGGCTGTGAGGGACCCCCTTTTGTTTCTCAAAGCTCTACCACCGCCCACTGCTCTCAGATGAGAGCCTCAGCCCACCGGCCCCCCAACACTCAGCTTCTGCTCCTCCAGCACCACCGC